CAACACTATCAATATTAATGTTCTGTGACTGAGGAGGCTTTGAAAGAACTTTCTCCCACATCAATATTGATGGTGTTGCCATACATTGGGGTTGGGGCCCTTTTTAAGGATTTATAAGAGGAACGCTGGTGGGGGTGGGGTCTTTATACGAAAGGGGCCAAAGCCGTTTTTGGTCGGTGCCTCAGTGATGTACATTTTGCTGCCGTCCAGAGCAATTTCCGCTGGAAAGGGGTGACTCCGACCCACGCCTGATGAGATCTGAGACGTATCCAATTCCCCTGAAATGCTTTGGCGGCGATGATAGTTGTGAGAGGGGAAAAAGAGAACGTTTCATTTCAGGGGATCTGGGAATGTTAAATGGGAGCCTGTTGATACTGGGAGGGGGTATTGCTTTTTAGGAGATCTTCACAAACCGTCCGCAGCCGGACCACACACACAGACCAGACAGATCCAATTCATTATATTAGTTTTGGAGATTCATTGCTGCAGATATCAAGTGTCAAGAGGGTGTGCTTCATGAAGTCTTGGGTCTGGTTCATTTTAAACATTAATCATAGAAAGAAAAAGAAAAGCAGAGGGAAATAAATGAATCTTGGGATCAACTTTGACTTTGTCTCCAGAAACAATCTGCTGCTGGTGGAGATCTTCAGCCTCATTTGTCACGTTAACGAGTCTGGATTAAAAAAACCCACAGAGCTTTCTGAGGATGGTTATCAGCAAAATATCAGAAAACAAAATACAGATGAATGCCAGTCCACCAGTTTTCATATTTCAAAAAGTTCTTGAAACATTTCACTCTAACGAGATTCCCATCTAACGAGATAACCAAACCACAGCATCACAGATTCTCCACCATGCTTCAGAATGAATATGAACTGGATACGTGTGTTTGCAGAAACACTTTTTGCATCACATGAGTCACATGATCAACAGCTGGATATTATGCAAACCATGAAGAAGAAAACAGGAAGTGGTTTGAGTATAATTTAATGACTTATTGCTTGAACAAACTTATTCTCATGCGATTTTAATTATGTTTCTTGATTAATGGGAATGCCACAATTTTTCAATATAAGCAGAATATTGACAAAGTTTTATGCACATTTATAATGGAAACAGATATTTTTATGTATGAATTTCTCTTCCTTTGGTTTATTGGTTCTGTGTGTTTTCTCTCTTTCTGCAGGTGTAGAAACACTTTGGGGGTTGTGTCTTTTATTCTCTTTATCCTTTTCCCTCTCTTCTATTCTTCCATCTGTTGTGATCTGTGTAGTTATTTTTGAGGTTTTTCTGTGTCTAGATCTGTTTTCCCATGCGAGTCTCTGTCTTCCCTGTTGATTGCTCCAGCTGTGTCTAGTTCCCTGATTACCCTCCCTTTGTATTTAAACCCACCTGTTGTCTTTGTCTCTTGTCGGGTCCTTGTCTATTGTTCATGGTGTGTTCTGCTGTCTGCCAGATTCCTGTCTTTTTTGTATTCCTGAGTCATCTTCATTAAACCACACTGCTTTGATGTCAACCTGGGCTTACCGGTGTCTTCCTCACCTCCACTATCCACAAATCATGACACCATCTTTCCCTTTTAGCTCTTTGCCTTCCTCTCTTCCTTTGTTTTTTCTCTTTTTCTCTTTCTTTGTCTCCATGTCTATTGCATTAGAAATTATACATTTAAATATGCTTCAGTTAAATGCATCTTACAGGAAGTTGTCCAACATTTAGTTGAATTTAGTTCAACTAATTAATTTATTTTCAGGTTTTTCACACATTTTAAGGTTGTTCTAAATAAACTAAAATGTATAAAGGAAAACGGGATAAATTGTTCCAGCTTATTTGTAAATGTCTCGCCTTTTTCATCTGAGCTACTCTGTCACTGAGGATGAACACATTACAGAGCAACAAGCCAGAACAAGACAACTGGACCCCCAACCTTCACTTAATATCGTTCTTTATTTTGATGCTGCCTGTAAGTGGAACCTCTTTGGTGAGACAAAGACTGACCTCAATTCAGTCTGACATCCCACCTATCGATCTCGCCCCCCTCCCCCTGAGATGGCTTGCCCTTGTGCCGCCACCATTCACATTTAGCAACAAGATAAAAAGCTCCGTTTTATTAAACAAAAATCCCTCCCATGTGTTGCCTCGTCTGCCCAAGACCAAATTACAAAAACAATGCTCAATGTGTGTGTGTGTGTGTGTGTGTGTGTGTGTGGGGGGGGGGGTGACTCTTTGTGATACAGTAAATTGAAAGTGTGTCATAACAAATAGTGCAGGTGTCTGACTTAAATGCATGTGACTAACGCCCATGTCTTCTCTGTCAAAGGAGCATCTCGTGTATTTTTAAAAGTGCGGCAGCGACTGTGACATGGACCCAGGACAATTACTGTCAGAGCGCTCGGGTGATGAATCTGCAGCCTCATTGTGTTTGTCACTTCGACCTTTGGCTGGGACCTGATTGCTATGACTGTCTACCTGCAAAATGGTTCAGATGTGTCGTTTCTGCCCTTGAACTGTGAATGTAAAAATATAAAATAAATAAATACATAAATGGCCCCTGCATGTGTAATTATTGCATCAGTGGAGGAAAAGGCTGCAAAACAAAGCAATATATTTACCATAACAGCTAATGATTTGGATCAACTGCCAATAAAAAGACAAGTAATTTACCTTCAAAGGGAAAACCTGCTTTTCTTTCACAGGCTTTGTAGGTTGTGATATTTACAGGCTCTCATTTGTACCCTGACACGGCGTATTTTGCTTTTATAGTTTGTGCTGAGCTCGGTGGTTGCCATAAATGGCAGGTGTGCAAAATTGAAGTGCAAAAGTAATTCAGCTCCTGCCATTCAAAGGAGCCATGTCAGGTTGATTTACCTGTGCATATAAACATTCACACACACACACTCCTCTGGGCCACATGTGTTTTTTATATTCAGGTGGTGGGGGCCAAAAAAAAAAAAAAAAAGAGAGAAAGAAATGTGCGTCTCCAGAATGGAGGTTGAGGGGTCATGGTGCTTGGCCAGGAGTGACAGCTCTGAAATGAAGGCGTAAGTCAGTCGGCTACTCTTCATACACACACGTGTGTGTGAGGGGTGATGGGGGCGGGACGGCCGTGGGTGGCTGGGACAGATGGGGGGGGGGGGCGGGGTTTAAAGGGTGCAAGGTTACCAGGAGGGGGAAAGTGGCTTTTATTTGTTCTTGTGTGCAGCGCAGGTGAAACCTGATCAAACTTCAGAAATAAATCAGCTTCATAATCCATCAAAAGTCACTCAGAGGAAATGTTTCTGTATCTGTCCGTTAAACAACCGATTTACAACTGATTCACCAATTTAACCAGGAGAGGTGGGTGACAAGGGCTCAGCATGTTATCACCATATTCTGTTATTACTACTGTGATAAAGATAAAAATGATCATATAAAACTACATATTTCTCCTTTTTTAGATAAATGCGTGAGAGCATTCTTTCATATTTGATACAAGGTTCAGTCATATTTAAATAAATTGATTTATATCGCAAAACTGCACAGACTTCGCTGAATCATATTTTCAAATTGAATGTTAACGTAAGAAAACAGTAAAAATGACATTTTAGTCAGTGTTTTTAACATTAAGTGAAATTTTAATTTTTACTCAAACTAGCTCACATGTCTCAACATGCCAGAGGTCAAAGGTCACGTGTGTTTTTTCTCCTTTAAAACAACAACAAATCTCGATGTTTGTTTACTTTCTGAAACGGCTGAAGGGACATTTAGGTTTCCTCCCAGCCAGACCGAGGGGAAACCCTGTTTTTGATTAAATAGTTCTCATTGATCCGAGGTATTGATTATTTCTCTTTCCCTTTTTGATTCAAGAGTTTTTCAATCTCTATGGTGCCATAAGATGATTTATTCTGAAAGGTATTCTTTAAGAGAAGCAGCCACTAGCAGAGGTTAGCGGTTAACCGAGAACATAAACATGATTACATTTTTGACTTTAGTCGTTTTAGAGAACACAACCACTGATACGCCTGGCAGAAAACAGACGCAAACAGTTTTAGCCTTTTCTTTTTCTACTTTTTTTACCCAGATGTCCATGTCAATACAGCAGATTCTAAGAAATGAGTTTGTTTGTTTTTGATTAGCTATGGTAGCACGGCTGATAATCCTTTATGTAACATTGAAATGAAAACACATCCACTGCATAATGTCTACAGGAGGAGGAAAGGTCATAAATTAAAAATAGACATCAAGTTCTTGTGCTTCTTGTTTGGTTTAGTTTATATTCCCTCATTAATCACCGAGTAAATGCCATTAGCTATCCGAGTTCTCAGCTTCCTGTACAGATCGTTCGCACATCTGTCACTAATTCAGACCTCCTTTACTTTTCCATAAAAGACATTGATCATTTGTAGTAAAGAAAGAAAGCATCTGCAGCTAAAAAATACTTCTAACATCCACATGTGAAAAGCTCAGGCCTTTCTGGTTCAATCCGGTGTAGGACTGATTTGGTGATTAATTGTTGGATTAATTGATTAATAATTGAAACTAAAAGTGCTTAATAGAATTAAAGCAGGTGAAGCTAAAACCACCTGGATTCTGGGTTGAACATATTTACAGACAAAAAGGGTTTTTTCTCTTAAATGCAAAATGTAGATATTTTTGTACAGTTTCAGACTAATTACTGCTCTGAGTGTGATGTTCTTTCAGCAAATGGCTTTTTTAGTCTGTGATTAATCGATTATTAAATTAACTGATAATTATGTCAACATAAGATTCATTACGATTAGTCGTTTCAGCCCCATTGTGCTGCAACAACAACACGTTTGCTCTTGATAGGTCAGACTGCTGATAACCAGTTAATCTTCCACATTGCTTTTTTAGTCTTTTAATTTAGTATTCAGGTGAAGATCAGTTCATTTTATTCTGACCTGACCGATAAAACCCAAACTGAAATGGGGTGTGCTTTCTTTCTAGGTCTGGAAAGTGACTGAAAAGAGAGTACAGAACAGTTAGTGTGAACAAAACTTTATTTCAATTATTGGATAATCAATATTTCCAAACAAAAGCAAAAGGGATAAAAACAAACTCTTAGAAACTTTCTGCGGATTTATTTACCAACACAACTTTCTCAGGTCCCTGATGGCTTTTCCAATACTGATGCTTGACGTCGATACTACGCTGTCTTGTTGGAAATGTGACATAAACAAAGTTTTTCCAACAAAAGGACAAAGGAAAAATAATAAAAACTTAAAGTATTCCTACATTAAACACAGTCCTAAGTCCCACAGGGATAGTGTTGCAACATAGACTGAGGTTTTCAGAGGTTAGTGATACATTACTCCACATAATAAGCTCAAATGACATGAGTTTAGGGGCTTTTCCCTACACAACAATATCACCCGGAAGTGGAAAAATAACTTGCATGATGTCTAAAAACTAAAAGTGCTGTTGATGTCGAAGCAAAAAAAAAAATCCTATTGTGAGTAGTTCTTTTTTTAACGTCTAATTATTGCATAAAGACAATCCACATATACATGTCTTTTTTGAAAATGCACGTTCCATTTCAGCATCATGTGAGCTTCTTTCCACTCCTGACAGAACATAATACCTGTTATAACAGGTAACGAGAGATTATGGCACAGTCATAAGATAAATGCTCAGTGACAAATCTTTGTTCTAAGGCAAATACAGCTAATTCTGTAAATTGCCCCCCAGACACTCACTTCCTGCCTAAAGTCTAAAAGGTCCAATACTGACAATCATTACAAAAAAGAAAAACATCTATGATGATCAGTGGTGTTTCTGCCTCCTGTGGCAGCATCAATGAGGGAGTTCTAGTGAATCTTTTAAAAAAGTAAATATGTATTTTCATCAAATGGGTTGAGGGCAGAAATATTCCACCAGTGCTGAGATTTAACAAGTGTGAATAAATGTCAAGTCTGACAAGATCTCAATGCAAGTGCCAAAGCTTTAATTTATTTCTTTTAAATGTTATAAAGTGATTCGCTTAACCTGAGAATCCAAACAATTGTAGTCAAATTAAAGACAAACCAAAAAGTTGCATTTGCTTTTTTAACTGACATGAATTTATTCCAAACTAAATGCATGTCTGCTTTGGCACAGGTTGCTCCTAAGTGTAAAATTAGTTGGGTTTGTGTTTTTGTGCTAACTGAGGGCTCTGGCTGCTCTGATGCCAATCCTCTCCTACGGTTCCCTATTCATCCATGCCTACTTCCATTTATCACTCATTCAGTTACTTTGCATACTTTTTCTGTTCCTCGTGAGAGTTCAGTTTGTAAGAAATGCTTACATAAGTATAGATTTGTTGGTGCAGACGTCTTTTGTGTAGAAATCACAGCGTTCAATACATTTATTTGAGGATAAAATGTGGATACTTTTATGAGAGGGCCAAAGATTTAACCGTTGAATTAATCAAAACATTGGTCAGGTTGCAGTCAGTTGGAGCCACTCCAAGTGTTCACCAGGCCTGGTGAGAGAAACATCAATGCTGACAGAAAATATGCAAAGCTTAAAATGAGATTAAAGTTTCCAAATGGATGTTATTCATTCATTTCTGCTAAATTAGAGAAGTGGATCTTTGCATTTTGTAAAAGTGGCTCATTTATGCTTTATATGTGACTATCTTAGAAATAGTGCATCATTTTGTTGTCGTGTCCAAAAAATCACTGGCAATCTGGTTTTCAAATTGCGAATCAGATGCATCAAAGGATGATGATAAAATATTAGTTTTTCTTATCATGAGAAGAAACACAATGCAGGTAAAAACCACTGAGATAACACTCGGTATTTAGATTACAGGAACATTCTGTGATGAGATTTTTACATTTATGAGGAAACTGGGTTAAAACAAGTTGTTCATGTTTGACTTCTCTATGTAAAGTTTTCATCAGGAACCAAATGAACGAGGTCATGATGAAGAATAGTAGTGGAATTGCTACTTTTTGTCAGTTAATATCGTAAAAGTTTTGCAGATGACAAATGGATTTTAAAGAACTGCTATGGTTAAAATAATTCAGCGCCTGTGTTTAAAGGATTATCCAGGTCCAGTTTGACCATTGTAAGTATTTCAATGGTATACTTGATTCTGAACTAGAGACGGTCAAGTGCAATATATGCATCACTTATAAATGGTGAACTGTAAGCTGCAAATTGCAATCCAATGTCACCAATAGTTTCTCAGTACTTCATTGAAATACCTGTAGATCAGACTCGTTTCTTCTGTTTTTATATATGACTGATAAGTGGCAAAATACTCTTCAATCTTATTTTTCCAAATAAACTCCTCCTGACTGCAACCTGACAGGATTTCAATTATAAAATTTATAATTCTGTTTCAATACTACGAGATATCTTGTGACATGATCTCATAATACTCCTGAATTTAATGATATTTTTATTTTCTGAAATTTTCAGATATGGTTCTGAAAACAAATGAGGAATATGTCATCTAACCAAACCAAATAAAATATCTGCAACCTTTAATGGAAAATATTCATTGGAGTCACATACGGAAGATTACTTTAAATATACGGCGATCAAAGTGTGCACCAGAAGACCGAAACACACACATGAAGAGGCCTATGGAAGACAACTTCCTTTCTTCTCTATGAAAATCTGGGCAAGACGTGACCAAAACTGCACATGGTCAAAGTGACAAAGGAGCAGAACAACCAGAGCCCAATACTGACATGTCTGCTAGTCTGACCCCCCACACCCCGAGAAACCTGAGCTTTTTAATTCAGTGAACCCAAAGATGCCTTAGATGCCAATGAATCAATGATATACTATACATATGGACACAATCATGAGTTATCTCTCCATACAAACAGTGCTAAAACAACACACAATATAACGTCATCTGCAAAAGTTCAAGACATTTTGGCATTTGTCTTCTTTTAATGGCTTCTGGTTTGCTTTTCAAAATTTAGTAAATACACACTCAGACCTCGCTCTTGGCTGCAGAGTTCGAATGGCATAGTCCCTACTCAGGTTCAGCCATGCTCTGTAAATGCAGGCATAGCACCAAGAATTAGGCAAATGTTTGCACAGTTTTATAACTGACATCTGAAGTGAGTCCATCAGACCTGCTGGTGAACTGTGCAGCAACACGTCCAGCTCATGCCACGTCTCAAAGAGAAAGACTGCACGCCATCAGCTCAGGGACTTGGAGAGGCCATTGAGTCTCTGTATCGGCAATGACAAACGATTGGCTGGCTTGTGTAACTGGGATGGTAACATTTCAAGAGTCTCATGGGTGGAATGGTGAGGAAGATGCTTCCTCGGGGAAAGCTGAAAAGTGGACAAGGAAGGGAAAGAAAGCAGGATGAGCTTCTCCTCTGCTGCTCAGCCTCAGGGTCCGTTCTCATTGTAGTGGAGGGAGAGCGGCCGCTCGCGCTGCACTGTGGGCATGTAGGGCCAGTTGTAGCTCGAGCCAGAGAGCAGCATGTCTCGGAGCAATGTCTCAATGGGCGTCTTGCCCACCAGTCGCACGAAAAACAGCTGCTCGATGACCGGTGAGGAGACGATACGCAGAGAGGGCAGGCGGAGGAGCAGGCGCCCGAATCGGTTTGGCTGGCTGGGATACTGGTTCCTCACATATTCCTCCAGAGCACACTGGGACTTCTCCTGGATGCTCTCCACATGGGCGACGTCAGACAGCCCCATGGCATCTGGAGGAAAGAAGGAACATTTATGATAGTCTGATTAAAGATGGAATCAAACTCCTCATGACAGGAAGGAGCCACTCTGGATTAACTGGTTTGACCAAAGGGCAGCGTACCAAACAGAAATGAGGGTTTAGAGGTCAGAAAAAGAGCTACAGAAAGAACAAAAACATTCATGTTAACGACAAACACTGAGACTTGTATGGCTCAGGTGCTAATCCTGCAACTTTCAGATGGACTCGTTCTCTAACTCACCTTCATCCACAATCTGCAAGCTCTGCAAAAGCCTGGTAATGAGGAATTCATCTGATTCAGGTGTGTTGTCAAAGGATGCATCTGAAAATTGTAGGCAAGTAGCTCTAGAGGCTTGGGCACCAGTTTGTGGGTCAGTTTACCCACAAATTCAAAAAGCACCACTGGAGACCGCTGGTCAACCAGACAAAGCCAGTGCAAGTTGTTGAAAAGAAAACCAGGATTTCATTTTCGTATTTATTGTTTCAATCCTGATATTGTCAATTCCCTACTGGTCTTAGTCCTAATCAGGAAACAGTTTATCCCTTCTAATAACTATTTGTTTCTGCAGTGCAAGATAACCAAGAGGAACCTCAGAGCTCTGGTTTTGAACGACTGTTTGAGATTATTTTACATATACGTATCAGTTTTAATAAATTGTCAACTCAAGCATCTCAAAAGCAAAGGTTAACAGTAAGTGGTAAGTTTTTTTAGGTTTTCTAATCTTTTCCATTAACTGTGAAGAAAATGGTTTCACTACAGTGTTTGTGGCCTTTCCAGTTGAAACGGGATGATTCCTTTTTGTTCCCGTAAATGTGCAAATATTTTGCTTGCTTTGCTTTGGTTTTCATTGATGTGACTTTGTGAGACTTTTGTTTAAATTATTAGTCTGTTTGGATGTAAAGCTGAGAAAGGAATGCTTCACCACCAGTGTCTGAGATCTTAGAGGACATGCCATTCAAAACTAACCAAATTTACATTATCCACAATTTAATCTGTTGGACTAGGTAAGAGTCACCATCACAGGCCTCCTCCACCGAGAGGCTCAAGGTAAGATGCTCAAACCTTATAATAAAAATCTACTGCTGACTTCAGAGATACTCATCCACCTCAAGCCTTCGGTCTGAAATCGCTTCCTTCCCAGCCTGGACTCCTGTTTTGCTTCCAAGCCCATCAAACCTTCCCTCTACTTCACTCCCGCCTCCAGCTGAATCTCACACAGACAGAGAGTGCGTAACACCGTGAGATATTTTTTGCACCCTCAGCGTGGAGGGGAGAGCAAAGGGATTAAAGCAAAGGAGGTCAGAAAAGTGTGAAGTCTAAACAAAGACATTTTATTGTACTCTGCCGCATACTGTACATTTTGTACGCTGTGGCCCCTGAGTGAACCCACATTCGGCAGACAGGTACTCGATGAGGGCAATTTATTCTCAAGCTTTTTAGGTGAAAGCGCTGGCCTGTAAGCTTTAACCCGTCGCCTTGCATCACAGGTCCGCTTCGTCATCGCAGGCTTTGATCTGTCCCCCGTGTAAACCCCGTCCTGCTGCGCCTCGGTTCCACTCTGGAAACTATTTAATTTACTCCACATTTTAATCAAGCGTGTCAATGCCTCCCCACCCCCAGCAGACTCTATTCTTATCATTCTCTGAGAATAATTGCCCCCTCTTTGGCTATAATTCCCTCCACACGGGAGGCTGCTGGACAGCGTTGTAGTTGGGATTTTTATTTGGGGTCCTGCGTGACTAAACGGCCAGCGCCTGGTCAGGATTAGCGGAGCTGTCTGCGTGGCCGAGACCACTTCGCGTGCCAAAGCGACAGCTCTGTGGGTGCCCTTCCACGCCAAGCACCAACGTGTTCTTTTGTCTCATCCTTGGGCACACAGCGGATCGGAGGGGGCCAAGGATCAGGGTGGCAGGAATGAAATACCCACTCCCTGATGTGGCTTGATGGGTCGGGTCTCCACAGGGGAGCGGAGGGAGTTGCCTCAATGGAAACAAACAGACAATTGCTGATTGTCTGAGCTTGTTAAGATATCCTATGAGTCAGGTTTATTACCATTTTGCAATGCGTCAATTTCTGATATTTTTTGACAGCTTTTTTTCATCAAAACGTGTGTGCACTTGCATCTGCCAACAGAGGAAAGTCACACAAGACGCTCAAGGCTATAGGAGTTATGTAGGTCACGGCGAATCCTGCGTCTAACTGAAGCGCGCCATGCATAATTCAAGTCCTGCGGTGGGGGCAGGGGTCTTGGGGCTTGGACTCAGCTTGGAGTTTGGGGAGCACGGGGGTTTGAGGGGTGGGATGGTGGACGGCTGTTTTCAATAATAGATGGGATCATAAAGGAGAAAGAAGTGATGAAAGCAGGGAAGATAGTGGAGAGGTGGATCTGTAGCCACCCACGTACACAAACAGGTCCAAGGTTCGGAGGAGACGCAGCACACATCAGGAATGGATCTGACAAGCCGTGCAAGAGGCAGAAAAAAGGGAAAATGCAATTAAAATCAGAAAGGAGGAACATCTCAGTGTTGGCTCGTTCACCATCCGTTTCCTCCAGGGTCACAAAGCATGATCCTGCAGTGAGGAATCCCAGATGTGACAGGATTCTGGCTTGTCCTGGATCCCTGTGACTGGAGGGATAAACCACAACAGGCTTTGTATAAAAGCACCATCAAAACAACGAACATCAAGGGCTTTGTCAAGACTTACAGCAGTTGTACCCCTCAGTAGCTCAGTGGTGTGAGTCAGTGGTGCAGCCTGAGAAATAAATGATGTTGGATGTTTGCAGTTTTACAGTGTAAAATGTTGGAAGTCACGAGCTCCTAATGCAATTTGAATACAAAGCTTACTTTTCTGTCTAACTGGATCATGTTTGGGACATAAAGTAAAACACTGGGGGGTTGAAAATACTGCATAGTCGAAGCGTTACTGTTTAACATCGTGATCAAATTACAACCAAATTCAAGGAGGGCAGAGACCAAGACTGTACCAGCTGCATTTACATATGGAGCCAATAAGACGGAGTGTGCTGCAGCGCTGCAGGTCAGCTCCCGGTCAGCCTCCGTGGAGGTGAAGAGGTTGTGGATTAAGTGCAGCTTTTTCCACAGTTTAAGCACTGCTGTCTGCTTTGCAAGTCTTTTTACTCACTGCCTTTCCCGTCCTCTGCTACAACCTCTTCCGCTGTGGCTCAAAACAAGGATTTGATGATTTGCATATCTTAATATTACATAATAACGAACTTTTAGGGATAAAGGAAAACAAATCAGCACTTTTTTACCATGCATATTTTTTTAAATGTCAATAATGTTGAGGAAATGCATCCACAGGTCTGACACAGAACGTCCTGTGATTATGTTTTCTTAAATATGTCTCAGTTTGGACATGATTACAGGATTTCCAACTTTAAACTGGAACATAGAAAAGTTGGATTGGATGAAAGTTTCAACTTAATTTTATTTATTAAATCAAAATTAGTTCTGAGAACCACTGGAAACAACCTAATTAATTACTACGTAATTAATCTTTATTAGCAGGTTTGTTGACAATGTGCTGCATATCTGGAGAATAAATAATCAGTTTGTAGTGTATTTATTTTTCTTCTACAAAACATTACAAATTAAACGGTGCCACTTCTGCACACTGAAGCCACAAACTTGAATCCATTAAAATGGGATTTTGTGCGAAGCAGCTGCAGGTGGTTTGGGTCGCTCTCTGCCCGTTTTGCATAACTATGGAGTGTGATTTGGAGTTGCCATGGCTGCTCCTCTGATTGATGCTGTTCTTGTCAGGGCAGGTGGACGTCCAGGTCTCGGTGGGTCTGCAGGTGGTCCATCCTCTCTCCATGTTCACATGATGGATTAAACTGAGCTCTGGGAGACATCCACAGCTTGGGATGTTGTTTCAGAGCTAAACCCAGTTTAAATGGAACCAGAAGGTTCTCTCTGGCCCGTTTACTTGATCTTCATGATGTTGGTTGTTCTCTGATGTTCTTTAGTGAATTTCTGATGACTTAATGCAGTTACAATGTTGGATTAGGGCCAAAATAGATATAAAAAAAATGAGTGCAAGAACAGTTTTGGGCTTAAAAAGCAAAAGATTGTGCAGAAAAAAATTATGAGATTCATTTTAGAAATGTTCTGGAAAAAAAATGAGAAATTATTGAGTTTCAAAACTGAATTTTTTTTCAATTATTGAAATTCCAAAATTTCCATGATTTTTCTAGAAAATGTCTGATTTGAACTTAAATTTTTGGCGGAAATGAACAGAACTGTATTTAACGATCAGAGTTTTCAAAACCATTTAGGAGCCTGATGAATTCCAATTATATGCCACATTTAGTTTTTCATAAAACTTTTAGGGTGATAAGTTCTTGTCCCTCAACTGCAACGTTAAACTAGCTTTTCACAAGGAGTTTCCTCTTTGCGATGTTTAACCTCCAGAAACGCTCCAGCCTGGCCGGTTCTCAAACTCCCGTTAAGTTGTTGTGATTAAGACACGAATAAACCGATCAGCAGAACCTGCTCCAAAGCATTCCCATTGGCCCGCCGCTAATTCCCTCTAAACTTACTCACACTAGAAAGGTTGTGTTTTTGTTGACATCGGAATCGACCTTTAACCCTCCGTGAGTCTGTGAACCACAAATAAGTCCCAGCCATATGGTTACAGCCGTGAAAGATGGCACGGCGCGAGTTCAGCCATCTGCGGCGGCATTAAAACCAGGCGTTGCGTCACTGTAAAACAAGAATGTTATGAACTCGCAGTAACGACACACGGCCTTTTATTTAGACGATGGGACGGTGTAACATGGTAATCTTTGTGTTTTCAGCCGACACCATCTGGATGTTTAATCTCCTCCAAATGTCCTGGATGTGAGCTTTTATTGCACAGCACAACATTCAGATATTTACAGTGTTTTTCTGGGTTTCCAGTCATTTTCTTAAAACAAGATCAGACTTTATCTGCAGAGATGAAACAGCATTTATTATATCTGACATGCAGTTACACTTTTTTACATGTATTTTCTCAAACTAGAAATATTTTAATCTATTATTTATTGTTAAAAATACTTTTAAAATTAATACTTTAATGGATTAATTATGACTGTGCTTAAGTTCAATAAACTGGGCTGAGCTGTGATGAGACTGATTTTGCATAAATTGTGTGAAATTTTAACGTAAAATTCAACAGGCCTGGATTTAAGGGAATGTGGACCCAGAACTACAGGAACTGATGCCCTGTGATTTTATCTTTTTGTTTTTTATCTTATTAAACAAATTGTATTTGTACTTTTTAAAGTCAGAGCTTTGGCGTGAAGAACTTCACCAGGGTAATTTAGGCCTGTCACAGTAACAAATTCTGCGATAATATTGTTGTTTTGAGACCATTTTCAAGTAACATAACAGTAGTTACTTAGTAATGCAAGAAAATATTCTCAACTATCAATAAACTTTAAATTCTAAAGAACATTTAACACCAGAAGACGTTTGAAATATCCAAGCTAAATAAATAAAACAACAGAAGCAACAAATAAAATGAATTATAAACTCTCTGTAAATAAAACTGTCCTTCAAAAAAGGAGCCAGTTGAGACCAATAAACCAGAGTCAGGACTTTTGTCCAGTCTTTGGTAGAAAGAGGGAAAAGAGAAAAAATAATAAATCATGCAAATGGAAATTAGTGAGATCATTTTAATTCATCCTGCAGTTAATTGGTTTATTTCTTAGTGCGGCAGGAAAGTAATGACTGCAAATTAGCCTGGACTAAATGACAACATTTTTCCATTTCACATTAAATCAAATAAGCAAAGAGAGTGAATCATTGTCCTCATATCATGAACATGGGAGCTGGAATCTTGAATAGAAAGTAACTATAATTTCATCTAAATCTAGTTTGTTCAGTAAAATGTCAGGAAATGGAGATCCTACTGGACGACTTCAACGTTATAAAGTAAAACAACTCAAACATGTTGGAGTAAAATAATGCTACATGATTTCAGTACCTGCTGAAATCAACCAAATGTAATGTACGCCGCCCAGTGCTCCATGCCGCTCCATGTGTAATGTAATCAACTGAATGTAACCAAAGGGGAAAACATTTAGTTTCTTTCCCCTCAAATTAAGATGTTTTCTGGGGTTTTCAAACCTACTGACCTAAAATCTCACCACTAAAATCTTGGGAATCGATCCAAACTCACCTGACGTGAAGAGCACGATGGACTTGAGGCAGGAGTATTCGGCCGTGTCGACCTGCAGGGCCTTCAGCTTCTCCACCTGCTCCTGGAAGACGCGGATGTGGTCCATGAAGGCCACCACGCGCTCGGCGGACATGGGCGAGGCGTGGAGGCCGGCGGCCGCCAGCAGGGGCGCCACATGGAGCGGCATGGAGCACTGGGCTGCGTTCAGGACGAAGAGCTCGCTCCACGACATGCGCAGCAGCGCCACCTGCACAGGAACACAGAATGGATGGGAAGGTTCTGAAAATCCAGACCAGATTTAACCAGGTGAGCTTTATTCTTTCATTCACAAACTATGAGCAAACTTCAGTTTACAGAAACATCAACTAGTCGAAATGTTGCTCACCTGCACGTTGAAGGTAAACAGCATTGATGAACTCAGACAGAAAAGCTGCATTTTAATCCATTTAAACTCTGAACTGAACCAGCTGCTGGGACGTCCTCAGTCGAAGTTAAATTTGTTAAAAACGGGAATTGTTGAGTGTCAATTGATGACTGCGTTCTGACCCGTGACTGTGGCGCTGATATCTGCACTGCAGATAAAATCAGCAGCATGAGAACGAGGCTCGACAAGCACAAGTCTCAAACTAACCAACTGTGAATCTAAGAACAATCTCCTTTCTGGATTCAATTTGGCCACTATCATAGTTTAGATGTTGGTTTTCAATTTAAAAATACTCACTCCTATATCTTGCTGAGCAAATTTAAAGTTTGCTCATTCAAATATAAAATAAAAGCCATTAAACTGAAACTTACTTGTTCAAATTCAAAATCCTGACTTTATTTTCCATAATTTCCATGAACTTGAAGTAAACCTGAAGGAGTGACACTCTGAAAGCTGATAGACATTTCTTCCTTTCATGAGAGATGATCCGGTTTTTCTTAACGATCAATAGAGGACAAACTGAAGTTCATTCAACCAGCTTTAATCAGGGTTTGCAAAATAGTCAAGGAAATTAGCATTTTATATGGATTTCCAAATTTATCAGGAAAAATTACTTTTGGGTAAAGCTAAGTGTGCTAAGCGTTTTCAAAGTTAGCAAAAGAGCTAAAGTGCTAAATGTCGAGCTAGCGGCGCTATTAGCGGATTTTCAGTTTACCAGAAGTTTCCTACAACTGGGTGGATTTATTCAAAGAGGCTGGAAATAAGTAAATATGAATGAATTAAAAGATTTTATGGTGGTTATATGTGTGTGTGTGTGTGTGTGTGTGTGTGTGTGTGTGTTGTAAACATCACCATATTTATGTTTTTATTGTATTTATATTGTATTTCTTACACCGCACTGTTTTTGGAGTTGGCTCTTTTTGACTATAATCTCACCATACATGAATGTAGAGACAATAACTTCATTAATTCATTCAAAAAAACTAACATTTTTAACTCTTTTTTACAGTGTAGCTTTATTACATCTGACCTTTAAAAGTAGCCAGAGTTACTGACAACAGTTTTTGGAACACATAAAACAGCTGATGTTGAAGAAAGACAAAATATGAACTGAGAATTGAATCCAAACGGTTTAAGTTGATCCGGGTTGTAAGCTGGTCTAAATGAAACCGTTATCAGCTTGTTGAAAGAGGAACGGAAACATTCACCCTGAGTGAAAGCAAACGTTGTTATTGTCGTAACATTTCATGGTTTCATTAACGGTCTGTTGCTGCAGCAGCAGGATGAATTCATCATAACATGACTACCAAATGTCCAAGTGAATATTTATAGGTACAACAGTTCCTCTGAGCCAGCAGCATAAATCTGCATGAGGAGGATCGATTTCAGGTCGGTCCTCGCTCAGCGCCGCGAGGTTCTGCCAAACAGAATCCTTTTTACACGCTGCTAAGTGACACTCAATGCAGATGTAGAGGAAAATATTATCTTTTCATTTATTTATCGGCTCATTTCTTTTCCAAAGTGGCGGGAGAGAAATGAGTTGTCAGATTTCTTCTTGAGAAGGTGAGATCTAATGACTTCAGGTGCGGCTTCCTGGAATCTCCAGGCATTTTTCGTCTGAATGACGAGAATAAAACCTGGAAGCGGCTCAGCAATGACAGCAGGCTGTGTCCAATCATTTTTCTTTCTCTCATCAGGCTCACCTGATCCATGAGCTGCAGGTCGGGGAAGAAGGGGATGTTCTTGGCCCACTCCACGGCGCTGAACAGCAGCCGAGCCGCCAGCTCGCAGATGTTCTCGATGCCCATCAGGTTGTTTCCCTGCATGCACTGGGCGCCGTAGCGGGACGTGGGGTAGGGCTCGGCGCGCAGCAGCAGGGAGATGAAGCCCGACAGGTAAGGCTGGCTGTTGTACGGGTCGGAGCCGTTGGTCAGGTACTGACCCGGGCTGCTCTGGGAGTTCGATGTGCGTCCTCTCTGCACAGCTGTCCAAAAACACACAAACACTGCATGAGCTTTACAATCGTTTCCCAGATTACAGAACCAATTTACAAGTAACTTTTCAGCAGCATGTCGGAGCTCATTTCCTTCATACTGATGAAAAGGTTTTAGTTTCACTGGCAGATTACACTGAAAAAAGAGAATGAAGATCCAAGTTTAAAAAAGTTAATTTGTTTTTTGTAATCAAATTCAGTTTGTCAAACTTACTTTACTTACATTTTTTAACACAATTTAACAAACTTAACATATTTACTTGGATAAAATTAACTTGATTACTTTTAGCAAATTAACTTTTTTTAAGTTGGATCAGCAGTTTTCTTTTTCAGTGTACCAAGTAATGTTAGTCTGGTTTATAATGCAAATATCTTAAACTTGAAAAAAGACAAAACTAACTTACAAGTAACTTTTCACCTACATACAGGAACTTGTTTTAATATTAATGAAAAAGTTCCAGCTCCACTGGCAGATTACCCTGAAAAAAACAATTATTCTGATTTCTGAATTAATCAAATCAGAATCTCATAAATTAGTTTTAACAAATTGGAGTCAATTTTTAAAGTTGGTTCAAGAAAGCATTTTTTTTTTTTGTGCTTTCGTGCAGGAAAATTGTCTTATGAGTGAAATAATCTGCCAGTGGAACTGCTACTTTTTCATCAATATTGACTTAATCTAATCCTGCATCTAGCTGAAAAGTTACTTTTAAGTTAGTTTAGTCTTTTTTAAGTGTGCCAAGATGTTTGTTCCAGAAACTAGATAAAAATACCCTGTCAGACTTTGTGTTTTTGCAGAGGACACGTGACAGGGAAAACGAAGTGAGCCCTGAAAGCCTAAGTAAAGGTAGAAGCAAAGGAAAAAAGCAGCAAATTGGGCATGTAAAATGTGTGGGGCTGCAGAAGGAGGTCGAGGGGCGAAAAACATTTCTCCAACTCTTAAACGTGTCAGTGCTCGTCTCTTCAGCGGCCGAGCCAAGGCCATTCCCCACCACTGCTCTGCATCAATGAGTAATGACAAGCAGCAGCTGTTAAAGATATAACACTTCTTCACACCTACATATGTTATGCACCCACACATGGACACATGTAACACACACACAAACACACACAAACACACAGGGTGCCCCTGTATTGGCAAATGGCTGAGCCTGAAGCGAACAGGGCACACAGAGGTCAAACTCTCCAACAAACACACGTCCCAACCCCCCATGGGCGAGGAGTGATGATGATGCGGCGAGCGCTCAAAGGCCCATTTGGAAAACACCTGTTCAGCCATCCCCACTGTCTGACTAATAACTCCATCTACTGTTACACGGAGCAAGTGTGAGAGGGGAGAAAGGCAATGAAAATGCAAAGAGGAGCCATGTGTGAGGGGGTGAAAAATGAGGTAAAAGGCTGGAATAGTGAGATAAGGTAGAGAGGGAAAGGTGGTAAGTCGAGAAAAGAGAGATTGAGGGCAAAGAGAGGGCTGGAGGAAAAGGTGAAATATGGAGGGAGACAGGTAAAGGCTGGAGAGTGAGTGAGTGAGTGAGTGAATGGGGGTGTGGAAATGCTTTTTAAATATCACCTGCAGCCTCACCCACAGCTGCTGCAGCAATCGAATGCACCGTGACGCGTCTGGAAAAGCGGGAGGTCAACTCACTGCGGAGCGCGCGGAAAATGCCTTTTATTTGAGCCTGACAAAAAATACCTCTGCACAAAAGGTGCTGACCTCAAAGCACTCGTTTCTCCCCATGAACTGCTTAACCTGTGGCAATCAAGAGGAATGCACACCACTCCTGTGAGCTGAAGCCATGAGAAGATGCTGCTTGTCACACAAAAACAACAATTTTCCACTTGATCTCAGTCCAACAGCGATAGAAACAAAACTCTGAATGAAACTGTTGCATTTAGTTTTAGATTCATTCCCTGATCAGATGTTTTCAGTCACTTCAGCTGCAGATTTTCATTGTGAATTGAACCTGCTTGTCTTGTAAAGTACTAGTATCTACAGAACTAATGATGTCTGTGGAAGAGGTTGAATGCAAGAAAACATTGAAGTACAAAGAAGTTGAAAAACCTGGATGAATTTCACAGTTTTCCAAAACTTTTACTTCATGGTAAAATGTCTTGTTCTGCCTTCTTCAGATGCAATATATCATCAGAAAATAATAGTTTTTAACCACCTACACCCATTTGTAGGTGAACCAGGAAGGAGACTGGCTGGTCCACACCAGCAGGGGGCGCCCTACAACTACTACAAAGTCACATTTTATAAAATAAAGCAACATAAAATGGGAAATCTGCACTTTTAATATTGGTAATACAACAGTAACACCATTAAAAATCCTCAACTCAGTCAGTGTCAGATTGTAAGAATGAGAAGTTCAGATATTTATCAAAACGGCAAATTTCCTTATAAGCTGTATTAAAATGTAAATCTGAAATCATGTTTATCTATACAGTCAATTAGGTTCGTATGTGCTCACTTTGTTTTTACTTTCTGGTTCTTAACCATATAAATATTAAAGTTTCTGTTACAATGTGATGCTAGGAAAATAATATTTTTATGCTGCAAGTTTAAATAATAGATGGATGGGGGACAGAAAGTCTCAAGTGTTTCACAAAATGCAGCAGGATTATTTTGTCTGCATGAGGGAGAGGCTGATCGTGTGTAACGGATTTGACCCGGTATGGTTCAGTCGGTGGTTCCCATCCTGTGCAGCAGCAGCTGCCACCAAACCACAAGTTTTCATGGGTTTCCTTAAATATATGATCTCAGTAAAAGTGAGTAGCTGTGATAAAATATGTGTTGGAGAAAGTTTCTGAGTTGAAGCAAGGATTCAACTTTGTGTCCAGCTTGAACTAGTTTAGCATCAGCGCTAACGCCAAGGACAAAACTTAGCAAGAAAGCTAACAATCTGAACTTCTTCACCTGGAGGCAAATGTTGCCAATTTATCACTTTGTCTTTATGTTTAGCAAGTATTCCAACTCCTCTAACTCGCTTTATTGCTAGTAAGCAGCTAGAAACAAATGTAGCATCTTTTTCTAATGATCCTTTTGTGACATGAGAAACAATGCCACAGTAAAGATGACCGCGTTCAACCGTCATCAAAACAACGGTGTCTAATGAAACTTTAAATGTTCCTGGTCACAGATAACTCAGTTATCTCCAGAAGATTACAAACCAAACCAGACTTTAAAAAGTTCAACTAAAAATTTAAGGTTTGAAATTATGCAGATCATTAAAGAAATGAAAATATATATTTTTTAAAAAGTCTTAAGCAGGTTTGTTTAGGAGCCTCTTTCTGGTATTAAGAACAGATAAATACAGAGGAAGCATCAGAAGAAGGTTTGCTTGTTGCTGCAACACAATCAAGGTATTTCTTACTCATTTTGTGTCTCTCCTTCCTCCAGCACAACGTGGCCAGTTGTACAAATTGGGTGGTGATGCAAATTTTAGGACAGCCAATGGCGACTTTCCTTGCTTTGGCGTTGGGAACACTGACCCAAAAACGTTTAAAACACCTTAGTAAAAAAACAAAAAAACTTTAAAATCCTCCTTTTTGTTCCTTGTTAAAGCGGGCGGCTTCGTGAAACGTCCTGTTCGTCATGAACCCAGCAGAGCTCTGTCGTCTGCATCCATAAAACGTGTTTGTCTGGAATGATAAGTGGGAATCTGTCTCCTTTATTCATGCTGACATATCTGAGCTCTTAGGTCTGAAATGTATATTTAAGAAGAAATGGGACAAAGAAATATGAACTAAATGCATTTATCCTGTTATTTATGAGCTGCTGATTGACTGTATTTCTATTGGATTTTGGAAATATCAATTGACAAATATTGCCCTTTGTTGAGCATAAAGTCATAAAACAGAATACTACAAAAAGTAACTAATTGATTTGAATGATTAAAATAACTGATAAAAAGAATAGCCTAAAAAATGTATGAAGTTACAGTAAGTATAAATGCATTTATTCTGACTTATTAAATTGTTTTTTAGCAGTTAAACTTGCATGATTTCCACATCTACAACAATAAAATGCACATTTTGTGTGCTGTATTTTATTTTTGCTGCATAAAAACTGCATCTGAATCTCGCTGGATTACCATGATGCAACATTTTAGTGTAATTTAAACGGTAAAATGTTTAAATTACATTAAGTACTTCCCTGTAACTTGTGCATCACTGCACTGACTCTTCAGGACACTTTGAATGTATTTCTGACACGTCCAAGTCAGTGGACTTTGTCTCCTAATGTCCTCATGCCACTAGAGGGCGCTGTCCAACGAACAGAGTCTGAAGGGACTGAGTCTCCTTCCTCAGCTTAGAGGACTCACTCCTGATTCAAACATTCACAGCTATTAATCTGCTCTGGTGTCAATAAGCGGGTAATTCTGCGGACGGCTGCGTATCTGCTGGAGCCACTTGACTCTTCAAAAGCCTCATTGTGGGGGTCACTCGAGCCTGAGAGGCAGAGCGCTCGAGTACGTCTCACTGAAACACATCACTCTCTGTTATGCCTCGCCTACAGAGATGGACCAAAACACAGGGAAGGAGGGAAAGAAAGCAGGAAAAACTGGGTGATGGAGGAAGAAAGGAGGGAAAGATGACATGACAGAGGGCAGAAAGAGAGAAACGAGATTAGAAGCAGATGCCTGAGCAGAGGGAAGCAGGGGGGATGGGACCAGAAGGTACCATAATCTGTTACTCTGCTTTTAAATAACTAAATTCTCTGCAATTTGACAAAAGTTACTGGGTTTGTGAAGTCGAAACAAGCAGTTTAATCCAGAAACATGTCTGGGATGCAGCTTGAGGAGGGAAATGACCATGGAGATGCTTTGGGACCCAATGCAGCAACACAAAATCTTACAAAGTATTTTTTTGTCTAGTTTCTGGTGCAAATATTTTAGCACATTTGACATAAGACAAACTGAGTTTAAAGTAACTTTCCAGCAAAACGTAGGCACTCGTTTTAAATAAGTAATTCCTTAATATTAAAGGAAAAGTTCTCATTCTGTTAACAGATAAATTAACTTAAAACTTAGTAAAAAATGTCTTGTTATAAGTGAAATAATCCACCAACAAATACGTCTTCAACAATATTAAGGAATTGTTTGCTTATATTAAATGCCAATGTCTTCCTAAAAACTTACTTTTAAGTTAGTTTTGTCTTATCTAAAGTGTACTAAAATATTTGCACCAGAAACTAGACCAAAAATACTTGGTCAGACTTTTTGCAGTGCGTTTCAGCTGTGACTTTCAAAACGCCGCTTCAGCAAACGGCAGCTGGCGGAGCGCTGCTGGGTTAGCCTCTGGGTCAGGCAGTCAGAGGAATTACAGCAGCTAAATACAATTAAGGCCTATCAACATTTGGTCCGAAAGGTCAGCGCGGATGGAGGAAAACAGACGCATTATGGATTTGGATTATTCTCGGAGTCGGGTTTAATAAAGTGGCTTTTTTCAGCTCTAAAGCCTCGGCTTGTGAGCGTAGCTAAAGCTGGCGATAAGATACAGTGACTGCAGGATGCAAAGAGAAACAATGTGAGAAATATTTAACATCCTGACCTAAAAGAATAAAAACAAAAAATCTGCATGAAAAAGACAGAAAAGTAACTCTATCTGCCTGCAGTGCGTGTGAATGCACATGTGTGATCCAGCTGAGAGGGCAGCCTGTGATGTGACACCGAGGTGATATCCCCACGGCTCTCATAGTTTTATTTTGGCCCTGAACTTTGACCTGCAGGTCAGTGCAGCGGGGCAACGAGAGACAGAGCGCAGCAGAAAGGAGCCAGTGTGTCAAAGGAGCTGACGCAGACACATAACATTAAAGCTTTGGTGGAAATAATCACAGTTTTCTCTGTTTATCTCAGCTGCTTCTATTAAAATCTATCTTTTAGATTTATGCAAATTTCACCAAAAAAAATGAACATCTTATCAGAACCACAGCAGGAAACTGGAAGCCAGAAAACAAAGTCACTTCTGTTGAAACTAAATGTTTCAAACTGTGCAAGAACAGACTCCTACATGGTTCTTCTGCTGATGTCATACGAACGTTTCTTAAAACGCTAAAAAGACTCAACAGTTCTTGTAAAATAGAATTCACTTCAGGAGAGACGTGACCACAATGCAACCGGGGGCCATTTGTGGCCCCTGATATGATTTTGTGTGGCGCAGGCAGTTAATGCAGATGGAAACTTTTCATTTTTACTTTGAAAAGAAAAAGTGAATTCGGTGTGTTTCTTCCTACTGGAGAGGATCAACCAGGATAAGCAAAGACTAACCAGGAAGCAGAAGTATTATTACAGACAAATTAAAATCAACATCAGAAAATATTGACTAAAGTATAAAGTATTCAAAACCCAAACTTTTTGCATCCACTGGTGAGAACTACATCTATGCAGATCTGCTTTTAATTAATTTATTAAACTTGGCTACAAATGTTTCAATGCAACTAGCAGAATCTTGTTTTAATTGCTCAGAATTAATACACAATGTTTTATTATGTTCAATAATAACCTTTAGAAATTCACAAAATGGACCAAAATGAGGCAAACCTGCAAAACATTTCTAAGGTTTTTTTAATCTACAATAGTTTACATAAATCTACCCAACAAAAAAACTATATATTTATTTAATTAAAGTAGTATGAACCGAGTACAGTTTATTGTTGAGCAGGTACAAAAGGCAGTATTTTGTTTCTTCTTTCACTTTTTTTGGGTCTCTTTTTTTCTTCCTTTTGTCGTTTTGATTTGATGATTTTGGCAAAAAGTTCGGACACCCCATCTTTAGGAGCCGAGACTGGATATTTAAAAAGTTGCGGTTTTAAAGTAGTTTTCACAGTTTAAAATGTTTTTATGAGAAGCTTTAGAAATGCCAGAGTGAGTGGAGTTTCCTCACGCAGAGCCGATCCGACATCCTGCTGCACAGAAACACACTTTCTCTTCTTTTAATCACAAACAGAATGAAAAATCACCATGACAAAACTTGTAGCTCCATCCACTGGTTTTAAACTACAACCGTAGATTAAGGTGATGGCACAGAGGCCTTCCAACCTCAAAGAATTTGAGTTCTTTGTCAAAAAGAAATCATCAAAATACCAGAGGAAGTATGCAAAACTTTGATTACTGCATTGCCAATAATAGTTTCCTGGTAATGATTCAGAAAATTATAATTTTATTGAAATGCAGATGAAAACAGATATTTTAATGCCACCTTTTACCATCTGTTGAGAAACGCCTGCATCAAACTTCTTAAAGGAATGAAATCATTTTTAATCTGACAGCAACATGAATCATTTTAGATTCAACAGCAGCATGTCTGATGAGCAGCTGCCCACAAATAAATAAAATCCACTACATCTCTTCTAACTGCCCGTTTTGAGCGTTCAAACACTAAAAATATTTAAATATGCATTAAAACACACGGCGGACCCCAGACCATCACTACAGCAGCAGCTCACATCTACAACCTCCTCATTTCTGCTTTCAGGGCTCCAGCCAATCAGCACAGAGGAAAATGAACGTTGCTCTTGGATTGGCTGCATTGCAAAAAGCAGCCAATAGGATGCCAAGTAGGATTACAACAAAGGATTTCAGCTTCCTAAGCTTCATGTTCTTTCAAATATTTTAGTTATGCTCTGTGGGAAAATCTGTGAACCGGGATATTGTACACAAAACCCACATTAAGACCACTTTATTTAGGTAGTATGTATTCTATATTTTTACATTATTATAACTGTAATAATTAATATGCTGTAATATCTTACAGCAGCAGGATTAATTGTTACATTTGATGTATTTTTATTCTTATTTTAAAGTTTTAATTCTCATTTTAATACCAATGTTACATTTTATTTTTCTCACACCATAAACATCTAATAGTTTCCAAAGTCTAAGCTGGTTTTATTCCTCAGAGGTTCCCTCAAAAATCAAAAAGGACATTTAAATTGTTAGCATCAAATTTATTACGGCAAATATGAAAATGTTGCTCAGACCCAGGCGAATGGTGCAAATATGTAACAATTTACGGTTCTTCCAGCCATTATGGTCCAAATTAAACCAGGTGTGTTAAAGATGGCTAAATGTTTTGGTTATTTGTAGAGAAGTCAGGGGTTGTACAAACCAGCAGTCATAAAATCAAATGAATATTTCAGAAAGAAAGTTTTCTGTACAATTTTACAACCAGCTTTCCTGTCGTTTGAGGACAAATCTTAAAAATGAAGCACCTGCTCAGTAAAAGTGTCCTGAGTTATCCGTCAGACATGAAGGAGCAATGGCCGCCAGAGACGCGACAGAGCGTAAGTGCAGGCCGTCCCGAGGCGCTGCTGGACGCAGAGCGACAGGAACCGACGGCAGGATTTCACGTCTGGGAACTTCTGAATAACCTGCAAATAATCTCACCCTGAAGCTCGTTTACATTCCCATCACAAAATCCCCTTCTGCATAAATAATCTGCACCACACAGTTTCAATCCAAGCATTTTTTTTAATGTAAAATCCTCTTAATTTGTACAAAAACACATTCTGTGCTGAGTTTCATCCCAGATGACTGAGCTGACTCGTGAAAACAGGCTGAGAAACTAAGGAAGATCCCACAGTGTTTACTTTTGTCACATTAGCAGCTCAGAACTTTACAATGAAACTCTGCCCCCCTCCCCCACATGTTGCTTCTACTCTGACCAGAAGCATTTTCAGCTGAGAGGAATTTAATCATTAACTCTGCAGCAATGTGCTCCTGGTTTAACTATTAGAAACTCCCAAATAAGACATTTCAGGAGCGCTTGATGGGAAGTTGGATTAGCCAATGCACGCTGTTGGACTTGAACGCACCACTGGGATATTCCCCCCCGCCTCCTCAACGCTCCACACATTTGGACTTTGACTTCAGTCCGTCCTCTGGTTATGTTTTAGTTTTGGTTGACCTACATTTACCGCCGCTGTAACGCTCTGTCAGAGTGCAAACTGGGTCAGGAGTGTTCAGAGTGGGAATTACAGATTTCTGCGCTATAAACAGATGTTGGGTCTGTTTATCATCAGAACACGCTGCTAATTCCACCATCGCCATGTCTGTGGGCGCTCACAGCTAATTCAGGACACACACAGCAGACAGTGTGACCTTATCATGGTGAATAAATGCATGTTCTGTCTTCAATGATTCGTCCTTTCAGAATTAAAACATGCAGTTCAAAGGAAGTGTCATGTTGATTCTCTTTGCCAACAGAGAAACAACTGCAGCTTCCATGAAGCCGCCTGGCGAAACGACTCCACCGCTGCCAGCGATTCAGACGTTTGATTCCAACCGAAGTGTCTTCCCGTCAACGAAGTCTTCGACAAATGATATGATGTTCGACACGGAAAAGAGGTCAGATGTCCCCTCTGGAGAGAGTGACTTTTAAATCTGCCACTCGTGAAACCTTTAAAAAGTCTTCTCAGGCAGATAAATATTAATTTACTCTGAGCCAGAGTCATACAAGAAGATTCACTCACTTATTTTCTGCAAGGGAAAATCCTTAAGTGGAGTCAAACACACGAGATCTGTCTGTAAATAACATCCACAACAAAACTCTCACTGATCTTCAAAGGTTTTGTAAGGATGTGAACATGTCTAGATTGAAACATATGAGAATCTTCCATTCTTCCATTCAGGTGATGTAAGCAGAACCAGGAGACCTGGGCGACCCCGGCGGACGCTGAACGGTCCTGAGACCTCTTCCAGGAACCCAGGAACCAGATACCAGCATTAAACACTCATATCAGCTTTCCAGGAATACTTTATTATTTATTTCATCCTTAATTTTCCTGTGAAAACAACTAGTTTAGAGTAACACAGGTTACTAAAAGCAACTAGCTGAGCTGTATTTGTGTAGAAGGTCTTCAGTCAGGAGAGAAACCTGAAAATTTCCACATCTCCCAAAAAAAAATGTTCAACCGAAATATATCAGTTTAATAATATTTACACAAATAATTAGACCTGCTCAGATTAATATCTTCTTATTATTGATGATGGACTCGACTCTTCCATTTCCATCATGAAGAAAAACACTTTGTTAGATTCAGCATAAAATCTGCTTCAGTTGTGATGGTCAGCCGTAACACTGACATCCTGAAATGCAGCCAGAGCAGAGATGACCAACATGAACTTCATGTTTTTATTCAAAACAGAAAAGCAACAACGGCAGCTGCTATATGTTGATTATGGTGATGTGATGTGTAACATTTATTTATTATTTTTGCTTTTGGTATAAAGACTAAACCAAAGACACTGAATGAACTCTTGCTAACAAAGTCATTATCAGCTGCTTATTTTGCAGAATGCATTTAGACTTGTTCATTCTTTCAGCCAGCTATCTGGCAGCAACAGGTTGGGGAGGGGCTGTACAGTTTTATAGTAAATCAAATACAGCTTGAGGAAACTCCACTCTAGCAGTTTTTCCTCTGACATTTCATTAAAATATTCTAAATTTATTTGAGAGAATTTATTGCAGAACATTATAAATCATTACTTTTTAAAACCTCGACATGCTTCACTTCCCAGAACTGATAAAAAATTAATCAATAATAAAGCAGCTGACTAAAAATTTGAGAAATGAAATTCCGTTTAGATTTCAGAAATAAAATAAAACCAAAAAGCGTATCTCAGAGGGAGGATTTGCACAAACAGCTCCTCTTCTGACAGAACTCTTTGTCATAATCTAAAATGTTACATTTTACGGCTCGTTATTAAACTAAATCAGGAGCATGAACAGCTTCTGCAGACGTAAACACGCATGCGGCGCATCAGGAGATTTCCTCGGGTTCATCCAGTCGGAAAGGAGCATGACCGACTCGGTGTGGCTTGCGGGTTTCTTTACATGCCAGCAGCCTACAGTCCACACGCACGCAGAGGCGCAGGAGTTCACCCACAGGAAGCCTTGAGGGATCCGCTCAGATGTGAGCAGGGCGGGTGTTCCTAACCTGTCCGGAGGTTTTTTGTTGTTGTTGTTTTTTACTTCAGTAAAGAACAAAGGGCGAAGAGGACACGATCTGTCCTTCAGCGTCCACTGGCTAAGTGTCCTTCAGAGGGATTTGCTGCTGTTGACCTTATCCTGTCTCCTGATTAGACTGAAGTGTAACATCTCCATTAAATACAGACATTTAATGAAATGAGTCTTAAAAGCAGAATGCGCATAAATTACACACACCTCGCATGTTTTACTTTGATTTGTGCGTAAATCTGCGCGCGATTCCATATTTTTCCCTAACATGAAAACTTCCCTCATATTTAGGCAGGAAAATGTAAATTCAAGAATTAGAATTTTGAGATTTAGTTCAAAATATGTGCCAAAAATTCAACCAACCCCGCACAGCAATTAGCAGAGATCACTCTGGTCTCATTTTGGTTAAATACGCGCCAGCGCACGCCTCGTGGGCTGGGTGTCGCTGCTTGATGATAATTAATAAGGCGAAGCGCTCCTCTTCACCAACACGTTTCCACTGAACCTCTTTGGCATCAACTGACCCGTTGTTAATCCAACACAATGCAACAAATGTTGCGGCATCCTCTTATAGCGGCTCCCGGTGTCACTGAACAAACAGCATAATTAACGCGCAGAAACAAAGGGAGGATTTTACAGAGCGCCGTGAATGCGTCGGATTTGGAGAATGTTTGAGGAATCGCGGCGAGGAGCCGCAGGTGGGACTGATTATTTACCCACAGAAGCGTTTGGACGCGCGGAACCTTGAAGCCGCTGCGCACATTTACGCACCGGAGTTCTGCCTGGTACTCTTCCAAAATGACGTGTGTCTCCTAAAAACTGGAAACGCGTCATGTTTGGACTAAAGTGGACCGATATGTGTCAGTTCGGGCAGGCAGCTGGTCTACAAATGTCTCAGTTTAGTATTAAAGACGTGGAAATGGTCAGATCTGTCTGAAGCGTTGCTGCAAATGTGCAAATTAAACACATTTGCACATTTGTTCTTTTTTTAAGTTCTCGACCAAAGTGACCAATGAACACTACGCACAACTTTACGCACAGAAACGCGATCCTTTGTGCCCAAAAAGTGAAAGATGTCCGGCTTACCTTCTCTCCTCATGCCGACTTTGAGACACTTCTTGAGCCGGCAGTACTGGCACTGGTTCCGGTGGTGCTGGTCGATGGGACAGTCCCGGTTCCCCCGGCAGGTGTACGTCAGGTTCCGCCTCACCGAGCGCTTAAAGAAGCTTTTGCATCCCTCGCAGGTGAACTGGCCGTAGTGCTTCCCGCTGGACTTGTCCCCGCACACCATGCAGTCCACGTTGGGGAGCTTATCCCCGGAAAGCGTGTCGTTCCCCGGTGTGGAACCGTTAGGAGTCCCCGGTCCCCCGCCGGGCTCCTGGCCGCACATCTGCAGCTGGGAGCCCGGATCTGCAGAAATGTTCTCTGGCCACTGGTTTACTACCATTGCCATGCTATCCCCCAACACTTTGCCTCTGTTTAAATCACAGAAGAAGTCGGAGTGCGCGGTAGAGATCCGTCCTGACGTCTTGAAGGAAAACAGAAAAGAGGAAGGGCGAAAAGGCGCTTCCCTCTGTCCTCAGGGGTCAATGCGAGCTGGTCTGAGCTGAACAGAGTCACTTTTAAAATACGACTTAATACTTTGTGTAAACATCTATTATAGTACAAAGCAACCGCGGGGAATCAACATGATCGATGTCGAACTGCAGAGCCAACAACTCCCGGAGTTCCTCTCAGCGCAGCGATCCATAAACACGTTGTTCTTCAGAGCGGAACCTCTCGGGAAAGTCAGTCCAACAAGTGAGCCGCTTGGCTGTCAGAGTGAAAACACTGTCAGGAATCCTGTCGGGTGTTTTTATCCTAAACTGGGAGAAAACCGCACAAACTGCGCAGGAGACAATTATCCCGCAGCTCACACCCTCCGGCTCGGTTCTGTTCGGGTGCTATCGATTCTTCAAACACAAAATTAAACTAATTCTGACCACGTGTTTGCGACTTTCAGAGCAGGATTCGTTTGGTCCCAGCGGCACAGAGTGCGAGTCCAGAGGAGAGGAGAGGAGATTCCTGGATCCTCACCGTCCTGCGCGCAGCGGAGCGAACTGGAAAACGATTTCAGTTTGCGCACAAGTTTTTATTACTTTACCACAGACAGACGGGATTTCCTCCGAGCATTCAGGATGACGGTCCGCTGAGGAGAACCAAACCAAACAACAGATCCAAACAGCAGCGCTGTTCGCCGGGTCGCCCTCAGTCTGGGTGTCCTGTCTTCCAGAGTCAAAGCTCCAGTTGGGGGAAAGTGTCAGAGGCTGGAGACCGCCCCTGCCGGCGCACCATATAAGGCAATAAATGCCAAATAAGGTCGCTTCTCCTCCCCTCCGTGTGAGGAGAGCGACGAGAGAGGCCGGCCGGGATTGGACCGAAAAGTCTAGTAAAAACGGCCAGAAGCTCTCTGATTGGGAGATGAGCGACTGGGTCTGATTTGACTGACAGCAGTGGCTTTAGTGGGACACCGCGAACCGCTCATTCAGAACAAAATGCGCAGATTGTTTGGTTTTATTCCAATAAGCTCTTAACTTAAAAACGTAGATGAAATCTACCCAGCTTGTTCATGAGTCAGGCTTAAGAAGAGTTTAAACAACAAACCTTCAGAATGGGAAGGATTTTCTAGAATTTTTATATGTATTTATATATATATATATATATATATATATACACACACACACACACACATACACACACACACACACACACTTGTTTATGTCTGCATAAACAAGTATATATGGTTTAGTGTTTTTAACTCTTATTTTAACGGAAGTTTCCGCTCAGGTCGGATTTCACACGAAATAGATGAAAAAACATCCCGAGGATTAATTTCAGCTCCTTTTACTGAAACGTCCAGATTTTAAATGAGGGGAAAATTCAGGCAGGAACTGAAATTTATACACCACCAGTTTCAGACAGAACGATAAAAGTTTAATTTCTGCAATCACACCTTATCCTGGACGGAAATTAAATCGAGTTTTTTTCACGGTGGTGTAAGTCATTCTCCTTATTTTGATTTGATTTGATTTTTTAAAGTTATTATTAAATTATGTATTTATTTGTTTAACTTGTTTATAGATTTTTTCAGGTATACGTTTAGCATATTTTACTCTTATTTGCCATGGAGCGCGTAACAGAAAATCTGTCCAATTTCAATGGAAATTTCTGCGCACCGAACCACAATTAAGCCCACGGAACCTGTTGCTTTGTTTCAAATAAACAGAAATAAATAAGCACATTAAACAAATAAATACGGGGAGATAAATCAGCAGTTCAAAGTGAGACACAAAGCGTTCACTGGTGAAAAAAAAAGGTTTTTGCGGGTCTGATGCTCCGAGACTTCAGTGGCTTCCCAGAAAACGCGGCTCTGCGGTAATCAACGGCGACAGTGTTGTGTTCCGACTGAGGGTTTAACACTGAAAGCAGCGGGAGCCTGATTATTTTCCCAGATATGCTCCTGATTTGTCATGTGAGGGCAACTCCACCAAGGCTTGGTGCCGGCGGACGGGTCGGAGAGGCGGGAGGGTGAATGAGGCGCACCCCTCTTCTCTTCCCGCCCCTCTATCTATCTATCTATCTATCTATCTATCTATGATGACATTAAGCTTTTGCTCGTCTTTGTTGGGCAGCAAAGCGCTAAGAGCCAAACTTCACTCGGGGTCCCGAGCGGGGCGCCTTTCTCGCCGGAGGCCATAAAGTTGGCCCCGCGCTCGGCTTAATTGCTGTCACATGTAACCTTACCTGTCCCCCAATTAGCCCGCGCTTTGCTATTAGGAGATTTCTGCGAGCTGCGTATAGGCCCAGCAACCCGGGCTCCTCGGGGTTTGGGGGGTAATTAGGGTGTAATTCAATCCAGCCGAGGCTTATGATCAATTTGACCAGGACTTCACCCAGAGGAGGCTAATTAAATGAGGATCAGCGTGATGTTCACCCATTAATCTTCAAATACAGACAATAACCGTCCAGACAAATATCTTCAGGATACAAATGTTTGAACAAAATGAAATATTCGAGGGGGTTTTGTGATGAATCAACATAATTATGAAGTGGAATTAAGCAAAATTATACGTTTTCTTAATCTTACAATTAAGAATGAACAAACTGGGCTTGTCAACTTTACTCTGATACCTCTAAATAAAATCCAGTGTACACATGTGTGCAGTGTGACCTCATTATAATCCAGCTGGCCTCATTGGTTCGTTAGAGAACATTACAGAACAACCAGCGCCATGAAAACCAGGGAACCCAGCAGAAAGGTCAGCGAGGAAGTGGTGGAGAGGTTTAAAGCAGGGTTAGTTTCTAAAACAACATCCCGAGCTTTGAACATCTCACAGCGCTCGGTTCAATCCATCATCTGAACGCAGAAACAGGATGGACCGACTGCAGACGGACCAAGTTGGAGGTCCGCCTGTGAGCTGCATCGATCAGGCTGCAGAAGGCTAAAGCGTTGAGGCCAACGCTGAGGTTCAGGTCAACGAGCCGCAGCACAAATCCAGAGATGCAATGGAAGGG